TCTCGCTGAGACCATAAACAGTGGCTTTGATAGGTGTTGTCAAACCTGGTCCACAGTGTTCTTTCTATTGTTCAGGCTCTGCTCTCGTCTGTCAACCGGCAGTATTGGTTATGATCAGTCTGCCAGAAATCAAGCAAGTGTGGTATTACCTTTAAGTGAGCAGTGGCTTTTCTTTCAGGATAGATGAACACATCACTGCCAGGTCTGCAAACATTTTAGTTTGTTGACCTTCTGTTGTTTTTTAGGCCATTCACAACCCTTAAATAGGCCGTAGACCTGTAGAGATCCAGACACGTAGCCTGTCACTGAACCTTCCACCTTGCTGACCTTTCTTGGGACATATAGCAACAACCATGTACCTGGAGCTCATTAATTTGTCCGTCTCTGATAAAGCAGCCAAACTCATTGCCTTCAAACTAAGCCTGGCGTGGCCTGAACACAATCAACCTTTAGTTGCTGAAGTAGCAGCAAATGAAAATGCTCAAGTGGAGTACAAACACCTTAAAATTTAACTTAAGTACAGTAAAGAGTAAATGTTACTTTCCACCACTGCTTGACAGAAAGTGCTACCAAGTTATTTTTCTCTCTGCGGAAGCTTTACAGCTTCATGTGGCAACATCTCGTCAGTGTCACAGAAAAATCTGGAAGCACAATGACCGGACTGCGTTTGCCAGAATCACTGTTGGCGCCCGCTCACCGAGACCTGTGATGCTCTGCCGCGCCAAGAATGCTATCAGTCACAGCCAGACTGAGCAGACACTGAACAGCACATCGTGTCTCTGTATTGTTTACTAGCGAGTTAAGGCTGTTTACTGTTTGTTTGCCAGGAACAAACAATATGGGGAACCCAGTGAGGCTCAGGCTTGGCCCCGATGCTAAACTCCAGAGCAGGGACACATCAGACTGGGACAAAAACCACTGTTCCAAAATTCAGCTCTTTTAAAATGCCTCCTCTCACCAAGTGACTGATATCAAAAAAAGGCTTGTTGGTGCTAGAACAATGGCCAAGTCTCAACACTTTCCACAGGCAGGAGCCTCTGGAGTTTTGGCACAGTGAAACTTGGCTTGACACCTGCTACATGAGCAGCTTTGGTATATCCTGCCAAACACTTTAAGACAAGATATGAAAACACTTGAACATTCGTATAAATAACCAGTGGCCATACGCCTTCTGTTTCTGGACTCTCAGCGTGTGTGGTTTAAGCTTCTCCTTTCTGTAGAAAACTGGCCAAGCTCTGACAATGATGGATTTCTAGCAGCTGTAGTTGATAGCAGGACATGGTTCACTGTGCTAAAGTATCAACCATTATCAAAGAGCCATTATAGAAACAAGTCACAGAGTACAGCAAAAAAAAAAAACAGTACATGTTTCAGTTGTGCTCAAAACAGGCATTACACTAAACTTAGAGTTCAGGAGGCAGTGTGGGTCTGGTCAGAAGCAGACCCGCCTCACACCGGCGTGAGCTGTAGTTTTCCTGTGGAGAAGGCTTTTGCTTTGACTACAGAGGCCTGGTGTAAAATCTTAGCATGTTGCAATGTCCAGAGTTCAGTCAGTGCAACTTCATTTAACTGATACTGCTGTTCTGTTTCTCAACAGTGTCATGTTAAGGACTTCTTATGAGGTTTTTTCTAACAGGATCCAGTTTAATGTCTAAGGCTAGAGTGGGTAGTCATGTCCTGTATTGGGGAACTGGAGCGGGAGGGGGGCGCTGTTGTGGATTCCTACCAATGTTTAGACCAGGCCTACACCCTGTGGTTAAGGGACGGTTGGACTGCAGCTGTGCATGCAGCTGCACTGTGCAGGGAACCTCATGGCAACAAAGAGACCAGAATGCAACGGAGACAAACAAAAGACAGGTTAAATGATAATTTAAGGCATAAAGTCTTTTGGGCACTGAAGGAGGACATTAAACATAACATGTTTGAATGTCTGAGGGAACTTTTGTGTGTAACTGTTTCTTTCCTACATGAAACAGAATTAATTACCCCTGAGCCATTTTTAGACTTCCTCCTAAAACACACTGCACTGAGAATAAATAGTCATTAGAAGCAGGAACACTACGATTCCCATGGTGCAGCAGAGTTTTCTGGGAATAGCTTCCTGGTTTAGTGAATGGAAAACAAATCTAAGGTGGTTCCACATCAGCAGGCTCACATGTGCACAACAGATCAAACGAGCACTCCTCACGACTGTTTGAGAAAATCAAATGTGTTGAATAATGTACATCCCCGTCGGCCCAAAGGCAGGAAGCTTGTAGGCAAAAACTGACAAACTATCTGTCGCCACATTAAAACTAAACTGTCAGATACAAGGCAGGTACAAGATTCCAGGTTCTGGTGAGTCTGAAGGGTCAGGACTCTCTTTTTTACCCTAGTTCAAGCTGCAAACATTAAAGCAAAGAATTACATGTTGTAGAGACACGACTAACTGTCCACTGCGACCATTTGATTTAACCAGGTCAGTTCTGGCTGCACACTGTATCTGTTTAACCTCAATAACAACAAATAAACCGCTGCTCTGTTTGTTATTCCTCTGTCAAAGCCTCCAGTCAGTGTAGGAATCAGTGTAGTCTCAGTTTTGCAGACTGTGCATACAGTTTAATAATTGATGCACTGAAAGTAACTTTTCCTCCAGGATGTAGACATTGTTACAAAAGCTGTATCAGACCAGCAGAGAGACAGCAAGAACACCAGGAAGAAAGGCTTTTGTGATAATTTCCACTTTTGGAAAAACACACATCTTCCTAAGCAGAATTTAGAACCTAGAGATTGTTACACCAACAACACAAGATACTGTTAAAACCACAAATATAGATTTATCGCCTTCATTCGACACCAGAAGCACCTTGACATCCCAGAATCCTCTACCCTCAAAGCTAGAAAAGCACTGATATCATCTTTGTATCTACAAAAGCTCCATCACATCTTCACACACGGATGTGAGACGTTTGACATGTCAGACAAAGTTAAAGTGTGTGAACGCGTACAAATGTCTGAGTATCTTGACAAATGAGAGCTGGTCTAACAGTTGGTCCGTCTACAACAACGCCACAGATGCATGTATATTTTTTTGAGAAACCAGTTTCAAGAAGTTATATGACAATTCCATCATCGCTACATTTACCTGGTTACTCGTCAGTCCTACGACCACAAACAAGGACCGAATTTCAAAACTCTGGAAACCCCTGGAAAATGTTTCATGTCTACAGGTGAATCCCAATTCCCTTATTTCATCATTCCTTTGTCCTTGATCTTCACTCGGCCTGGAAGTCGTTCTAGTCGGCCACGATGAAGGTACATGACGTCCCAAAGCTCTTATTTCTCCTCCGAGGACCGAGGCGTGAGCAGGCTGGATACACAAATGCATCCTTTGCAGACGTTTGTTAGGGACTGACACCCTCATTTATCAGAAATTAGGTTATGATTGGATGAGTCACGTGAAGGATCGAATTAGGTTATGATTGGATGAGTCACGTCTCATGTCAGTTAAAACGAGTTTCCTCGGTTCCTGTCTCCTCACCTCTTTTCCTTGTATGTTATATTAGCAGGACTAAGACACAAGGAAAGATGCAAGTGAGGGAAACATGGATGCATTTGAGGGAATTGGGATTCAGTAAATGTTGTTAAAATTCTCTCTTTTACTCTATACCGTGTGCACAGGTCAACTCAAGTCAAGTTATTAAAAGACTGTGGTTAGTGTAGAAGCAGCATTAATGGCAAGACTGGGATGGGACACCAGTCTCCATGATACAAAGACTATTAAGAGGAAGCCTGATGAACTGACCCTGTGAACAAGTCTTTATCTTAAAATGCAAAATGTTTTGACTCAAAGTGAAAATTTCACACAAGACAAAAACCTTGGTTGTAGGTTAAACATTAATACCATCCTGTCCCTCTTTTGTTCACATGATTTCTCAGATTAACCACAGGGAGACAGTTTGCCAATAATCACGTGTGGCGCATGCTGCTTTCCATTATTCGCTTCAGCTACCTCCTGCTTCCATCATCACTATGGCGTTTCCTGTTGTGCAGCCTCCGATGCTGCCTATTAACAGTGCCCATTATTTTCACTCCATAGAAACAGCCTGGTGCTTTCACAACTTAAAGCTTGCTGTTGGGGTAACCGCTAGACTGTCTTAGTGCAGCAGTTGATGTTAGATAGCAGGAGTGTGGTGGTGATGATTATCAAGATGAGATAGGCGTCACTATGTGGACGCAGAAAATATTATTTGCGATTTAGAGCTTTACAAGCTGTCGAGCTAAAAGAAATGATATTTAGAGTTAACTTGTGTGTAATGCTGAATTTTTGATGCAACAGTGAGTCCAAAGTGTGGCTCTGATTCATTAAACAGTCCTGAACCACTGTTCACCAGCAGGTCACTCAACTACATCCTCATTAACTATCTCCCAATCACAATGATTCCATAAAGAAAGACCTGTGAAACATTTTACTAAGGCTCAAAAATATTCACTATGACCATTTAAGTAATGAAAAGTCTCAGTGAGCCCAGTACGCTTGTCATTATATTATATATACAATTCCTGTGTGCCCGGAATCAGCAGCTCAGCCAAAGAATGGCCCCAAAACACAAAATCCTGCAGAGAAGTTGCACCCGGTGAGCAATGCTCTGTATCTATCTCTTAATACACCAGATATCCATCCTGTGTGGAGTATGAATGTGCTTTCTGCCTGCGATACTGAGCATGCAGATGAGAATATGTTGGTCTGATGTCGGTACAAGAGAAAGAGCCAAGAAGTCGGCAAAATATACCACTGTTTAGGTTCTGATGGTGGAAACACAGCACAACAAGGTCTGGCACTTTCACACAGCGTTAAACATGATTAAAGCTCTAGCAGTGCTCCCTCAGAGCAGCTCCTTCAGTCATCTCTCAGGGCAGCAGAGTGAGACCTACTGAGTGGACACGGACTCCTGTGTTTCAGTCTCCACAGTGACCAAAGCCACAACAACAGATACAGAAACCAGCTGTCTCATACTTACATCCCACCATCATCATGGCCACAGAGAAGATTTTCTCCCCGTCCGTGGTGGGGGCGATGTTGCCGAAGCCGATGGTTGTCAGGCTGGTCATGGTGAAATACAGAGAGGTGATGTACAGAGAGCCCTTGCCGGGGCCGCCCTCCAACTGGCCAGAGCCGCTGGTGTTGTAGCGATAAGGTGATCCAATGTTAATAGCCAGCTGGTAGAGCCAGCTGTCCTTCTTGATGGTGTTGGTGGCCTCGTCGATGACCTCGTAGTCTCCAATGCTGTACCTGTTGAGGATGACATCTGAATTTCAGTGTTTAGCTGGAATAACAGCAGAACTTTAACCAAACTGTTACATCCAATTCAGGTCTGAGCAAAAGTCAGGGAGAAACAAGCATTACTATTCTCCTCAAGACGCCTCAGATCTACTGACGAATCACTGCTTTCATCCTGTTCGCTGTTTATTTGCAGGAGTGATGTATTGTTGCGCCCAGACTGTGGACTAGTTTCCTTTCATCATTAGAGGTCCCCTGTTTATAAGTCTTCTTTACAATCTCTTTTCACTACATGACTGCTCATATTCTGCCTATATTATGCAACGAGCTCCTGTGTAAAAAGCCTGTGGAGCTGTATTTGCAACATCTCTGCAAAATCACTTTTGTCAACCGAATGAAAAACCCTGACTCAGCACTAGACCTGTCAAGTCTAAGCTCGTAGAGCACATGTAGGACTCAAGATGCAAACATAATCGAGACAGCGGTTTTCCCATCAAAAGGTAAAAAGCAGAACAAATGACCAGGAAATAAATGAAACATGTCAGTGACAGAGATGCTGAGTAGAAAAGTGCAGGACAAAATTCACTTACATCCACACTTGAAATGCTTGAACCCTTCTTTTATTTATGGACACAGATCCTAACATCACCTCAGACCCCCGTAAATCTCTGAATTTATTACCTCAACCTTATTTCAACAATATGTGATGAGCCACTTGAGCAAACCTTAAATATAGTTATTAAAACCATTAATCCTTAATGTAAGAGCAGACTGATGAGCATAAACAACATCCAGGGCTTCACTTTGGTCTGTCAAGGCTCACATTCACTTATTATAGCCTATAAGATGACTATGATTTTTCATTTTGGTTTTCAAAACTTAATGCAGCATTGGAGGTATGAAAAGGACAGTAATGCATCATAAGTATACTGCTGGTGTATTTAATGTTGGGGAGTAAAGCATGATTTTAAATGGCTCTCTGTTTTTAGATAGCACAAATGGTAAATAATAATCATTATTATTATTATTGCTCATTTGCTACAGTTAACAGACGAGTCAGTGCTGTGAGACAAAAGGAAACAACTCAAACAGCAGCATATGTTTCGTAACGTACAGCTGAAGAGGCAGGAGCCGTGTTAGCATACACAACCAAACAGGAACAGTGAGGAAAATGGGTACATTCCCAGCAGGAGCCTTTAAATGGCATTAAACTGTGAGGAAATGAGAAAACCTTCCCTCAGTGGCTGTAAATAGCATTAAAAAAAAAAAAACCCTGTTTACCAGATGCAGGCGAGCCAGTGGGCCACTAATCCGAACACGCAGACCAACAGGACCAGAACAGCAGCACCGTACTCCAGGTAGTGGTCCAGCTTCCTGGCCACCCGGCCCAGACGCAGCAGGCGGACCACCTTCAGAGAGCTGAACAGACTGCTGATGCCCTGGGGGTGGGGGGAGACAACCAATGAGAGATGAGGTAAAGAGAGGGGGAAGGCAGAGGACAGTTAAGAGCAGAGAGAAACTGGTTATTTCAGATAAAACCAGCTCCTGTTTCTGGTTTCTTTGGGCCAGTCTGTGTGCTGAGCCCCTCACTAGCTGTGCTTAATGTTTTATACATTGTCTGACCACATGTATATACAGTAGAACCACATGCCGTCTTTCTTTCTGGATATTCAGTAATGTACTAAAACAACACTTTTACAGCTGCACTGCTACATTAATTTAAGAAGTCGCTCTTGTTTGTTTGTTACACTGTGTCCTGTAATTCAACCTGACAAAGTCTGGGGTCATGATGGGAATACGTTTTAAAAGGCTGAAAGTTTTAACAGGCTGTACCAGAACAGTACTAATAATGATCATCAGTAAAAACTGCTACAACATCTCGCTCAAAATTCAAAATGTGTTTCGCTGCCCACGAACATAAAATGAAAAAGGTGAAACAAATTGATCTGGCATTTAACAAAAACAAGCAACAGTCAACAAATATTTTACTGCACTGTTTGACACCACAAAGCATCGAAAATGAAACGGAGTTAATTCAGTCCGAGCTGCTCTGTACAGTGCAAACACAAACTGTGCTTCTAATATTACTGGCCAACATTAACATATAACTGAATATCTTAGTAGCATAGAGTCTGTAGGCCCATAAATAAAATATTGTCACAGTTTCTCCAGCAGAGAAGATTTTTCCACTTAGAGATGCCAGTTCAAATTGTGGTCCAAGTTCTTTAATAAACAAACTGAAAGAATTTTGTGACACATTCACTGTCAGCCAGGCTCTAAAACCCAAATACCACTTTAATGTACAACGTGTACAACACCACAGAGCCTTGCTGCTCAGACAGTCGTCCCTCAGTGCGTTTTCACTGCATTAACAGCTGCGTTATCGGTCCGATACCACAGACTTCCCCAAACCCAGTTAGCTGGGAAACAGGCTCAAGATAAACAAAAGACAACAGCAGCATCCACGACTCCCAAGGCATCATCAGCACGCTGTGCACAATTAACGCTGCCGAGCGTTCAGCACAGCAGGGAGCACAACACTGTACCACCTGGAACTAAATGTTTGCCAACATCAAGATGTTGGAGCACAGACAGAAGAAAGCCAGCAGGGTTATCTATGATGTTATGTAACAGAGCCAGACAGGTGAGGACCAGGTGAGGACCAGGTGAGGACCAGGTGAGCTGCAGTTGCCCCCGAGTCTTCACCCCCGTCCTGGCGCTCATTCTCCGCCTCTTCATCTTCAGCTGCAGACCAGACGCACTCAGCCCTCATTCTTCTTTCAACCCTATTTTAACTCTTTCGATATGATTGGTTTAAACAGTCTGACAGCATTCAGTGTTTTCCAGATAGAAGGCTCATGTGTTCTTTAGTGAAATAGTTTCCTGACTCTGAACTTGTGTTTTGCATCGTTTAGCTGCTCCTTCTTAATTCTGACACACTTGATCCAGTAGGAAGCTCCAACCCTTCTCCCCCTTAGACACTAGGCTTGTATTACTACATTTCATTTCTAATTAGACACTACAATAAATTAATTTAGTTATAAGCACATATTGTACAAGAACATCTTATACATGTTAGTGACAAAATAAATAAAAATAGATATATAGACTGCTTTGAGGATCACTGCTGTAACATACAGAGAGAGTTTTACAAATAAACCACAGTAGATCTGAAGCTGTGCTGCTTAACCCCAACACTTCAACAATTAGAAAGCATCTTTTCTGTGATCTTGGTCTTGACGTGTTCTAAATCCTTGAGTGAGATTCAAGGAGACCTGGTTCTGACCTAACCTCACCTAACTCCTGCTGCAGGTTTTATATTTCCCTCTCTGATGGCACAAACCCAGCCAGCCCTCCCGATCCCTCCCATGCCCACCTCAGCCTTCCCTAGCCCTCCCTAGCCCCTTTCAACCACAGCTTCAAAGGCCTCCCCTGGGACTTAGTGGGTTCCCAGCTCCCATGCAAACATCTCTAAACTGGGTGGCCACAGGGTAGAGCAGCTCAGGGCACAAGTCAAGAGCATACAAGACATGTAAAATCATAGCACATAAGCACCTGCTTATAAAAACATAGCTCGTGAAGTAAGACTGTGTATAGAGGGGGATTAAATGTCCACTGGGAAGCTCTTTTCACAGCGCCTGGCTCTTTCTCTCATTATTTTCAAAGCAGAGGATGCAGTGTTGCATGTTCCCGACAGCACCGGGAGCTTAACATGTTTTCACCACTCGGTCTGGGGAGCATTAAAAATTTAAAATGTCTCAGCTTTTAGCAAAGAGCACCACGCTTCACTTGAGTTTTCAATTGTCACTCTACACAAACTGGAGCCAAAAGAAAAACATTCAAAGCAGCAAAAACTAAAAGTTAAATGTGCTTCTTGAGTTTTTAATTCTTCCAACATGTGAAGCACAAAGATAAATGTCAAACAGAATATGATTGAGATAATTTGGTTTAAAAGTTTCCAGAATGTTTTTCTCCCTTTGTTACCTGAAATACAGACATTAACAACTGTCTGCGAGGATAAGAGTTGAGTAACTAAACCAAATCCAGTTGGCTCCAGAATCTGCTACAGCATCTTACATCTCCAGCAGCAGTTTGTTCTCCTTTATCTTTCAGCCTCCTCCAAACCATCTTTCCATTCATGTACATTTTCCACAGGACTTTCATCCACATATTCATCTACATTTCAGTTCCCATCACAATGTCGCCTAAATAGAAAGAACAGAAATGTTGCAAACTGGAGCTATTCATGCAACTTTCCAATTTAGTTTCCAGCACCACTACAGCCCTGATACTCCCTGTTTTTAGAAAGTTAAGTGTTCATATGATGTTTTTTTCCATGGTTTAGCAGCTGTCCTGACATTTGTTTACGCTTCTGAAGTTCATTTTGCCAAATATGAAATATCACAGTCATTGGAAATGCTGCACTTCTCCCACTCATAGTTATAACCAGGAGCCTGAGTGAACAGCCTTCTCCCACCTGCACAGTATGACATGAACAGAGCATTACTGTGTCACCTCACCATCTTCTATAAGAGCAAGGCAACAGAAATGACACACATGCTCTCTGTTAATGGTGCATGCTGCAACAAAATGTACCACATAAAGAATGCCGTGGGCGCCCAAACACATGGCAGGCCTTTAGGAACACAAGGCCAACGTCCAAGTACAGCAAGGTCTGGTAGAGTTAGAAAACACATTATGTTGGTACCATAAATAGATGGATATATAGTGATGTGGACAAACATGGTCAATAAAACATCAGCAGTACTTTGGCCACAGATCGTCGATCTCCTTCTATTCCACAGTTGCTGTTTTACCATCATTCATCCACACAGCAGTTGCTCCTTGAGATTTTTATAAGCCACTGTATTCATTCATAGACATTCCAACCTTGTGTAGTCTCTCTCTCGTCCTTCTTCTGCTGCTCTTTTTAGCAGACACGTTCAACTTCCCCTCCCATTTGTCTCCTTCTTCCATCCCTCGCCCTGTGTCAACATGTGACGTGTTAATTTCTCACCCCTGACTGCACAGCGCAGAGCTTCCTCCCGGCTCTGCCAGCTTGGCCGGCTGTAGAGGCGGCAGCATGCACGCCACGCACAAAGGTCACCCTGGATTAGGCCTCTCTGAGCCACTGTGGTGCCTGAAGACACCTGCTGTGAGCTCCTGTCGGCTTCCTCCATGACAGCAGGTGATGTTAGGACCTGCTGGAGGTTCCTCCCTTCCCGACTCCAACACCCTCAACACACCCCCCAAACTCATCACACCATCTCTGCTGCAACCCGAGGGAGCATCAGCACAACTCCTCGTGAGAGTGTTCTCATTTTTTAGCTGTTTTACAGCCACAACTTGACTACTTCAGTCACTGTTACCTGTGTGCATATTCGTGTAGGTGTTGCCATTCTTGAAATAAGAGATCTAAAAAAATGTACACAGGAACAAGCAAACTGAAAAAGATTCTTTCGTCCTAAAGGAGGAACATGCTTTTGGGAAACATCTTGTTCTCACAGCTTTTACCACATGCCTAATTGCTGAGATCTGGAGACGTGGCAGCATCATTAGAATGGAGTCGAACAGGGGAAAAGGCACCAGTGGTTGGCCCAACAACCAACAAGCATAAAAAACATGATCAAATATTACATATTAAAGTCCATCAAGCATTCCCACAGATCTGAACTGTGTACGCAAAAGACGCTACACAAGTTGTTGTGGTTTTGATTCCATGACAGAATATACTACAGCACTGCTTCATGACGAAAAGGGGACCATTTCACTAGTCACTGTACATCAGTACCTCTTTAATGCCTCTTGCTACATGGCTACAGAGGTAGGACTGTGTGCTGCTTTAATTAGAGCTGGCTGCTGAAAACTGGTCAACTGGTTTGTTTTCTCACTGCTGAGTATTAGAAGATGTTCTTGTGCCACTATCACAGCATATTAAGCTGTAAGCAAATTAACAGTTTCATATTTTCATTTACTTGGTTGGAAATGAAAAAGAAAATGAACACACCTAAATGTGAATTAGTGAACTGTCTAAACACCAGACTACGGTGTAGTAACATATTGTTACAATACATGATCCTATTTACTAAAGTTAAGTGTTATACGCTTTAATTTTATACCATTTTATTCTTCTTTACAAAAGTCTAAGATGAAGATGAGCTTTCCGGGCCAACTCTGGCCTGCGTGCTAATTTGACCCTGGACAAATAAACTACATTAAATAGAACAGACTAATTAGTTGATGCCAACAGTTTTGATTAATTTGATCAATTAATAGTTAAAATTATCAACATTTATCATGCAAAAACAAACATTTTCTTTTTCCAACTTCTCAAATATAAAGATCTGCAAATCATTCCTCTTTCACATCACTGAAAATCTTTGAATTTTAAACGGCTTGAAGCAACGGTGCCATTTCCTGACTCTTCATCAACTGAACAGTCAGTTAAACTTAGTGTCTCCTTTCTCCCATAGTGTGTCCTCTCTCTCTCCCTGTACCTTTCTGCAGGTTGCCCTGGCCCTGGAGCTCTACATCTCTGATGAG